TGTGTATATAAGGTTGTTGTACGAAACCTTCACCTCTTATAACCCGTGTCTCTATTTCCTGTACATCACTTTGTCGCACTATTAGAAATTATACAGAAAAACTGTAATAAAAAGGACTTTTTTCCTTTGATGAACTTCATCTTGTGCAATAGCGTAAAGCAAGAGCGAACTAGAAAAAATATATGTTTTCATTTTTCTTTCTTTTATGTCGATACATTTCAGGTTTTAATGTTACTCTAGAGTATGGTTTCGACAAGCTGTGATAGTAGATCCTGGTTTCTCTTATCTTGCTCGGTACCCTCTCTTAGTTTTGACGGGCTTTTCTGAGCTTCTGATTTCGCTTTTCTACTTCCAATTAACAAACGACTAACTTCAAAAACATTTAAAATCGCTAAAACTGCAGCAAAGCTTTTTAAGTATCAGCGACCTTTTATTTTCTCTTCAGTCAATGTCGAGCGCGCTTATGAAAATAAAAACCGCAAGGGATTTATTGACCGCCAGCGAATGGGGTCGCTGTGGGGGAGAACACACACTATTTGAGAGAGCACTTCCTTGCATCGTTAATGCTGGTGGTTTCGGAGTAATGTTCTGACGTTTTTATAACTGAAAGACCGCTGTGCGTGCATGGTGTTGTTTTCTCGTGTGTCAAGACTAGGTCGGGAGCTGCTGCTACTGTGACGTCACAGTGATATGTGTCCCTCCCTAATGAAATGTTTCCCCTACCCGGGAACACACATCACTAGGGATATGTGTTCGGGGAAACACATGTCATGGGCGAGAGAGCCTCTCTTGTCACGGGGAAACACATATCAATGTGACGTCATAGTGATATGTGTTCCCCCGAACACATATCCCTAGTGAATTGTGCTTCCCCTATCCGGGAACACATGTCACTAGGGACATGTGTTTCCCGGGTAGAGAAACACATGTCACTAGGGATATGCGTTCAGGGGAACACATATCATGCGGAAACACCTATCACTAGGGATAATTGTTCGGTGGAACACATATCACTGTGACGTGAAATGTGTTTCCCCTCAGTACAGGAACACATATCACTACGAATATGTGTTTCCCAGGTAGGGAAACACATATCATTAAGGATATGTGTACTGGTAGCCTGTATACAGACGTTGTTTTATTTTTGTTTTCGTTCTTTTCGAGCGCGCTCACCACTACCCCCTTGCGCTGGCGGTCAATAAATCCCCCGCGGTTTATATCTTATCACGCGCGCTCGATGGACTTTGAAGAGAAAATAGAAGGTCTGTGAGCAGGCTAGTGTTCTGGGGAATACATATCACTGTGAGGTCACATATCTCTAGTCGTAGTGATCAAATTCTTTCAGTGTACTTTCCTCGCTAAATTTAGCTACAGCTAGCAGTAAAACACTCACAGCACTTCCTTGCATCGTTAATGCTGGCGGTTTTAGAGTAATTAAGACCGCCGTGCGTGCATGGTGTTGTTTTGTCGTGTGTCAAGACTAGGTTAGGAGTTACTTCAGGAAGTTTCACTTCTTTTGTTTCTTTCTTCAAATGATTGTTGTTAGTTTTTACCGCAGTTAATTAGACGTGGAATATTAAGAGAAATAGGCTACAAAAACATTTCTTAAGCTTTAATATACCACGTCAACTCTGAACTACCTGGAGTGATAAAATAGGTGAATTCAAAGAGCTTCGCTTTCTAGCTTAACTTTGTGAAATGTATGTGTCTACCGTGAATGCTGTGGATACGACGCCAGATGGACGCCATAGACCTTCAGGATTTAATACTAGAGCACAAACTTGTTTGATATCCTGAAGGGAAACACATGACACACATATCACAAGCACGACCCCGTATGTAGTGATATGTGTTACCCTGTCACACAGAGGGTTATCCAAGTTCCTTGGGATCGCTCCTTTTTTTGGCCTAGACGGGTATGTGCCGCTGAACAGGGTATGGTTTTCAGGGTCTTGGATCCCAAACAGAATATAAAATTTCACTATCAAAGATCTTGGGCAAGGTGTCTCTTCCAAAGGTACACTTCAGTTTTCCCGTTACATGCGCTTCTCCGACCCTTAAATTACGTGATGGTTATACTCTCTTGATATAAAAATACTGTCCGCGTCAAAAATAACATGTATATTTGGAAAATGCATAGAAAACAATAATACTATTTGTATAAAGAGAATGTATTAGTCTTTAACACTGTTTTTGTTTAAAAAGTGTATAGCAGCCCCGTCCCCACGTCACCAGAAACTTCACTGTCTCGTCTCTCATACGCCCCGGCCCGGCAACACTTGCGACGGATAACACACTATACACACTGTACTTTTTGCAATGTGTGTCCCTAGTCTTCAGCTGTCTTCGCTCAGATGGATTCCTTAAAATCTGAAAATCTAGTACGCTATTTGAGAAAAGGGGGATATCCTGCTGGGTCGAGTAAGCAGGATAAATACGTCTTACGGAGATTTGCCAAGAAATTTACTTTTGATGAAGAGTGTAATTGATTATTCTGTGTGGATGAAGGTCGAGGTGCTGAATTGCCCTTCAAGCGCATGATAATCAAAGAGGAAGAGAAAGTGCGAAATTTTCAAGAGTGTCATTCTTCTGGATTTGCTGGCCGTGCTGGACGAGACAACACCATTCAAAAAAATCAAAGACAGAAAGAGTACAAACCAAACCATTAAGAGGTGAGAAAAATAAAACATTGTTCTTAGAGGGATAATCTACCTCAGTTGTTAAAATGCTCTAATGACATTTTCAGTGGATATAAGAATACCTTCTTCTACCCTACATTTTTAACTCTATATTTTTAACAACAGCAAACTAAAAATTCTATTTAAGGTGGCTCCCTGACGTTTTTGTATTGTCCTTTGGCCGAGATTTTACTATTCTTTTGATGCAGGCAGGCTCAATCACAGTAATGTCTTTCCTTTCATTTAGCATTCTCAGGAAGGTCATTGATAAAAACAAGAACGTCTGGGATGACTTCATTAACGGAGCCTTGTTTGTTATTAACACCAAAGTCTCAAGCACCACCAAGTTTAGCCCCTTCTCTATAATGTTTGGTCGTTAACCATGACTACCATTCGAGGTTGAAAAATTTGTGCAGCAGGCCGTAAATGGGGAGAAATAAACAGGCTGGCAGCTGAACTAACATCTTTGCAAGATTACTTAGACAAGATGGCTACGACAAGAAATGTTCTGTTTCCCAAGGTAGAACGCAACATAACCATAGCCCAGGGGAAACAAAAAGGCAGTACCAAAAGAGGAAAGGAGAGCTAAATAAAAGCTTTAGGAAAGGAGATGCTGTACTGCGACGCAACATGCCTCAGAAAAGTAAGCAAGGTCACAAAATGCAAGATAAGTGGCTGGGGCCTTACACAATAGAGGAAATGGACTTTGAAAACAGAACACCATGATACTAAAAAAAAACCATGATACTAATTTTCAGTTATTGAATTATTTCCTCTGCCGACTCGCTTCTCGCTTCTAAAATATTTACTTTGGGAAAATACTGCAATTATCTGCTGACCACAACGCAAGGTGACGCTTTTTAAGTTGTGGGAACATCGATTCTCGGTCCCAGACCTCGTCTTCCCCCTCCCTTGATCCAAACAATTAACGCCAGTCCCGCCGAGTGTAGAAAATAGAGCTTTGGTTGCAAAAAATGACGCAAAGAGAATAGGGTTAAACCAAGCTTCCTTTACATGGCTTAATTAGTGTCCTTCTGAATGAGAGCGCTTCTCAAGCTCAACTTCGATTCCTGCGTAAAAGAAAAATCTTTGTTATTATCATCATTCTTATCGTGGTCGTCATTGTCGTCATCATCATCATCATCATTATTATTATTATTATTATTATTATTATTATTATCATTATTATTATTATTATTATTATTATTATTAATGAGCTGAAAGGTGTAGTTTTTCCATGCTGCGACACATGTGTTTAAATGCCAAATTCGAACCAAAGAGGACTTATTGAATGGCCATATTCTTAATTTTATTCGCTCCTCGTTCGCCTATCTTATATTAGCTTTTTTGCCTATTGACTTCGATGCTAATCAGCAGTCGGAAGTCCTGCAATTATAAGCCCAACACAGAATTCCGAGAATTAGTTAGTTTTGCAAACAACATGGGTTCAAAGTAAATAAACAAATAAATAAATAAATAATTGATAAAAAGACTTGAGTTGACAATTACCCTTCATGAAGAAGAAGTGGTTTCTTTTCCTTATCAGTGCAATCATAATTGTTAGAAGTCTAAAATTAAGAAACAAAACAAGTGTTTCGAGCCATAATTACAGGAAATGAAAAGCAACTAAAAAACGTTTGCTGAACTAGTACTAGGTGAAACCAGTATAACCAGCGTCACTGAAATGAAGCACAGTCAAGGTCTTAAACATACCCGTTGTATGGTAACAAAGCGGCATATGCCACCATTTTTAATGGACTGCGGAATCGATAACCTATATCGCTATCCTTAATAGCCAAACTTTGAATTAAAGGCGAGGCAGATCGGACAGCTATGGTTGGGTAACTAGTCATATGCAGTATATGTATTATGGTTAGGCAAAACTAACCTTTATCAGGGGCATGTTATCGTTATCTTTTTTATTATTTTGAATATTGTAGCCGTTTATTCCAATTAGATAGTTTTTCTGAGCCCCTTATGAAGGTTAATTTTGCCTTACGGAAATATTGGGCAAATAAATTACCCAAAAATTACCCATCCATAGCTCGATCTCCGTTCAGCCTTGTCTTGTGTTTTGTTCTATACTACTGTTCCCGATCTACACCAAGATCCAGCTTCTCTTTTCTGCTGTTCGCTGCCAATCCTTCAGTAATGCGCTTTAAGTCGAGCCGAATATCTAAAAGTTGGTCCAGGCTCGGTTATTAATTAAGATATTACTGTACTAGATTAGAGGGCAATTCAGCCAACACAATAGCAGGAAACATGTTCAAATAACATAGACTGTTAAACACCGTCAGTTACGATCGTGAAATTGCATGTTCTTACCTTTTTATGATAGACAAATACAACTGCAGCCAAAAGAATGCACATGATTCCAATACCGAGCAAAGCATATTGTCCAATATCTAATAGCTGGATAGCACCGTACACCTTGATGCGGAACTCCTCAGCTTTCTTGTCAGTGATGAGTGCACTCTGTAGAATGAATACACGAGAGTGTGTTACTTACTCCAGGGCAGCGAGTTAAATGGGGCAAGTTCAGGGTCACAGGTGAATCCCGCTTGCACCAATTTAGTCACCCCCGTTATATTAAGGCCCCGTCGAAATTTATCCGTATATTTAAATTCCTGGACTACAAGCATTTGCTCTTTTTTCTTACTCCGTCGAGCAAAACGCGCGAGACACAAAAATGAACGCGCGTCTCGCAGCTCACTAAATCTGCAAAAAAAGAGAGACTGCTACCAGTCTATAAAGTCCGGATTATGTTACCGCCTACACCTTGGCGAACAGCAGAACCGAATCCCCAGTATTTTATTCTTAAACAACCTCCTTAGGTGGATTTACACCGTCGCGTAATTTTTACTTGCATACGAACTCATCAACTTGCCTTTCAAAGATGAAATAACTGTCATTTTGTTCTAAGACATTTCGCCACGCCCTCACTGGTTTCCCCGCGAAATGAGGTCAGAGGAACAAACGCAGAAATTGCATAATGATGACGTGTCACTACCCAGAACTCAGTAGTGCTTCTGATTGGTCCTGCCTCGACGGAAATTCAGGAGCAATACTCAGATCTGACGAGTCACACGTCATCAGTTTGGAGTTTTTACGTTCGTTGCTAAAACGTAATTTCTCGGGGAAAACATTGCTGGTGCCTCGACATGCATGTCGGCTGTTTTCGCTGGTTACTTACAAGATTAACTTATTACAACAGTCACCCACCTCAGCAGCAAACATAACCGGAAGAAAAACTGGTTTAAACTTCCCAGTTGTTTGCCTGTGAAGAAAGAAATAAAAGTTGATTGCCAGACATGATATATGGTATGTCTTTGCTGGCATTTGTTTGCAAGGCATCATCCAACAGGTCATTTCACACTTGTGTGCTCAGTGTCCTAACCTTTGCACAGAAGCGAGGGTGGAGATGACTGTTTTTCACATGTAAATGATCATGATCGATTACTTGTAAGCATTGAGAAGTTAACCATGATTTGCACATAAAAAAGGAAGGATTGTAACAAAACAAAAGTCACTTCCAGCTTGGCGTCTTCTCAAAGGCCAAAGTCCCGTATCTCGAAAGGGCCCGGTACCTTTTCGGACCCGGAAAGCTGTTCTATGTCTGTAATCTTTGCATTCAAGATCAAAGTTTGAATAATTTTGAAAACGATACTCTGAAACTAACGGTTAACGAAGCAAAATTGACAGGTTTGTGAGTCATGAGCTGTGCTAATATCCCAGGTTTTAATTTTAACATTTCCCTTCGGGCGCGAAAAGTTACCGGGCCTTTCGAGAAATGGGGCCCCAGGGCACAGCCATTGAGGACACAACTCGTGTTGGCAAGAAAAGCTACCCGGTATGGCGTGAACATAGCCTTAGTGAGACTTACCTTGTGGTATTTACGGATTCCAAGGCCACGTTGAGCTGGACTCTTTTAGCAGCTTGCATAACAATCCCTGTTATCTGTTTGTAAGAAGATAAAAAATCAGTCAGCCACTCCATCTGCAGTGTAATTGACCACTCCAGAAAATACCATAACATACCATAATGCTCTTTGTTTGTCACCCCAAAGTTTTGCATAAGCATTGTTTTCAGTTTCTCTTAGGGCCATTTTAACTCCCAAGAAAAACTGAAAACAATGCTTATGCAAAATTTTGGGGTGACAAACAAAGAGAGCATTAGGGTATGTAATGGTATTTCTGGAGTGGTCAGTGCCGCCGGCGGAGGAGAGGAGAACAGCACGTACATGTCCTTAACTGTAAAATTATGTACGTAGCAGTTATAAGTTTGGACGTAAGCATACAATTTAATGCGCTACTGGCTGCCGGCATCGGTCCACTTACTCATTTATGTGCTTACTATATGATATGTGTGATAGTTGAAGTGATAAGACACGTAGACGTAGACTGCATGCTCACCACCGGGAAGACTTCCCTACTCTTTTGAATGGAAAGCCATTGTTTTGTCTCTTGCTTTGGGTTTAATAGGCTCTTTGCAGTTAACCTTTTACGTGGTGCAAAACCTTCGAGAGCAAAAGTTGCACTGGGAAAAAGACAAACAAAAGGCATATTTAAATTTTAATGGTAATTTATTTCCTTTATTTGTCTTATCCCAGCGTGACGTCTGCTCTCCAGCATGGCGGTTATGGCTAGCTGTAAAGTAGCCTGCGTAGCTGGCGGTATTGTGTGGGTGCGAGATTAAAGTTTTGGCGGCGGAGCCGTGTTCCAAAAAAAGGGAGTAGGGACGAGGCGGTTGAAATATTTATTTATTTATTTCTCGCGGCTTCGCCGCTCGTGACGGCTCCGCCGCCAAATCTCACTCGACTACTACACAATACCGCCAGCTACGCAGGCTAGCTGTAAAGGGCCTATTGTGCATAAAGAAATATCTGCTTAAAAAGGCGAACAGTCATCGTCATACTGTTTTGGAGTAAGTTTAATAAATTTTGAGGTCAAAGACCGGTTTTCTGTATAAGAAAGGAGTTAAACGGGCAACAATAACGTGCAACTTGTTTTATAACATTACTGCAAAACAAATTTAAATAGCGATATTGCTCGTTTCAGACCACCCACGAGTCAAACCTGTCTTGCAACAAATCACTAAAGGTTGTTGCAAGTTGCGAACAGTTTTTGCAGAAAGTAAAGAGAGAGAGCAGCTCGATCTACTTTTAGCAACAAAATCTGTACATAAACGTAAGTGAATGTTTTGCGTTTTACCGGCCAAAGGCAAACTTGTTTTGCAGCAACTGACGTAAGACGTCATATGTCTGACGTGCTCTTGCGTCACGCCTTTTTCGAGTTGCCCCAAGTCTCTGATACAAAGCGAGGCTAAGTGCGATTTGGAAATGATTTTTTGTCTCGTCAACTTATTTTCACAAGAAAGGATTTGCACTTAGCCTCGTTTTGAAAAACTTGAAACAACCTGATTTGTTGCAGGACTGGTTTCAACGTAGGTTGTAAAACGCCCAACGTAGCTTCCCCAATCGTTTTGCAGAAATTATGTCAGTTTCAATAAAGGCTGCGCTCGTTTTGGTTGCCCGCGTTTTACCGTAGCTTTGAGGCTGTATTCTAATTTTCCGACAAGTATCCGCGTCCCTGAATTATATTGGAGTCACCCCCTCCACCTGCCTCGAGATAAGGGGAGGGGGCAGAGGGGGGGTGAACTTTACTTACCGGCTCGACATCGAGATGGGTCCCGTGGGCACTTTTTACCGGATCGAGGCCATTAACTGTGTTCAATAAGGATTTGTGGCTTTGATAAAAATGTGGAGGTGAGATTACAACTGGCGGATCTAAAAGATATCCGGTAGGTAATGATTAAAGTTCCATCGGTAAAATATATTCTATAGGGTGGATTCCGCTGGGATGATCCTGATCAGGATTTAAGCTAGAAGATCACTCACACGATGATGCGTCGAAGGATTATCATAATAATTACAATAATAATAATAATAATAATAATAATAATAATAATTTTATTACTTAAAACGCGCAAATTCGCATATGTACACATGTATGATCAAATGCACTTAAGGAAGGAAGGAAATGCTAAATCCCTTGAATTCATTAATTCGTTTGGACACTGGGCAAGGATTCATCGGTGCCTTTGATCTGAGTGGTCGTGACTCGTACACCTTCCTTCGATGCATGTGAATATGCCCCTGACCACACTTGTGGGAAGCGACCGTTTTCTGCCGTATTACCCAGTGGAAGGTAATCCAAGACAGTCTTGGACTCAGGATTGCACTTTGTGGATTCCGGAGTCCAGGTATTAGATTTAGAGTAATTCCGGATTGCAAATGTTAGCGAGATTCCGCATTGAGTATAAGGAATAATTTTTGCAATAAAGTAAAGACTTTGATTTCAAATATTACCCAGTTACCTGTAAACGTTTTGATCAATGAACTGATGAACTCCTCTAATTACTTTATCATTATAGAATTAATTTATGCTTGCTTTGATCTTCGTGACAAATTATTACTGACGTAACTTAATTGCCCTGTGATGATATTTTGGTTCTTAAAATAGCTTTTGCAATACTGTAGTATGTACTTGTATGGTCATATAAATGAAGCTTGTTATTGTTGTTACTGTTAATTAGATCTTACTCATTGGCTTGCAGAGACTGACATTAAGTAAACCAGTTGGTAAGCAGCGAGGAGGTACACAAAATCCTTTGTTAGGAGGGTATATGTCACCACTTAAGTAGCCTTTATCTGGTGCTATAAAGCGGTAAAGTTTGATGTTCTTGACGGTCACAGTCTTTTCGTATGTGAGATACATAGATCTGAGGAAAATTAGAGAAGATAATTTGTTTGTTAACTTTCTTTTAAATAATAAGCACTCGGTGCGAAAGAGAGCACTTACGCTTTTTCGAATTTTTGAGCAACAGTACACTAACCATGGCACAAACTACACGAAAAACTGACGTTAAACTACTCCCCGAGTTATATAGACAATTACGCATTGTTGGTAGATAAACTAACAGCTCCGTTGACTGTATAGCGTATAAAAGATCGTAGAAGACATGACACCCAATTCAGCTACGAAATTGAAAATTTGGCATCGAGTTATAAATTTAAGCAAAACTGCATGCGCAAACTCTAACACTTGTGAAAAGGATCGCAGGATTATGTAAAATACCTGCCCCCGGTTTAGAATAAAGTCCCAGTCTTTTTTTTTCCTTTTCAATGACCATAGCGTTCAACTTATCTATTTGTTTTCTTTCTCAGACTCATCACAGTTCTCTTAGTACATCGATCGCCGCAATGGGAAGGCTACACCGTAGTTATAACTTAAAGGTAAAATATTCGAGGTGAACCATGTTACATTTAAATCAGAATATATCAGAAATGAATCTTAAGTAACGCACCTGCAGATATCGGGAGAGAATACATATAATTTGTCGTTTTCCAAAACTCTCGGCGCAAACTGCGTACCATCTGCAAAGTTAATAAAGAAATCTAACACGATTGCCATGTATTCAAAAACACATAGCCAAACAACTAAATAATATAAATTAATTTTTCACACTTAACAAGATGTTAACATAGCAGGGTTTTAGTGTATTTCTGAAATGCTCTTAGTGTAGTTGATTGCTTTGTGCGGCTTTGTTGTTGCTTGCCTCTAATTAGCTTAAGGCCTGTTACATGGAGGTGGGGGATCCCAGATAGGTGAGGTAACATGTGGCGGGTCACCCCACCTATCATGTAAACGTGATCAAATTAAAATGAGAGATTATGTGGACAGGCGGGTTACCCCACCTAAGCAGGTTACCTCATCTACCCGAGGTCCCCCACCTCCATGTAAACAGGTCCTAACTCTGAGATTTGAACATTTTCAGTTTACTTTAGTTGTTCTAGATAACGCTAGAATATCAAAATAGCCTTTCTTTAAGCATTTTGTTTTCAAGCAATAATTTACAGCTTACATACCTGTGCCATTAATCATGTTTGCATATTTGTCACTCCACCATGTTAAATGACTGTAAACAAGAACGTTATGAGTAGACTCAGGACCTGTTTACATGGAGGTGGGGGACCCCAGGTAGGTGAGATAACATGAGGCGGGTCACCCCACCTATCATGTAAACGTGATCAAGTTTTAATTTTATAACGAATCATTATATGTACAGGCGGGTTACCCCACCTAAGCGGGTTACCTTACCGACCTGGGGTCCCGCACCTCCATGTAAACAGGCCCTTAATATTATATGATGTGTTATCGCATTCCATAAAGTCGGAATACAGCCAATCAGAGAGCAAGAAACTCATTGCAGCATATTCTGAGGTATGTACAGGTTGTATTTCACGAAAAAATCTCGGCGATCCTTTCTGCCTCTATAGAAAAGGCCAAAATTTTATTGTCAGAAGCAACTTTGAAAAGAATACTTAGATCCCGAGTTTTTGCGAAGTCCGTGATGGCCTCACATCTCAAAACAACAAGCCTAACTGAGATCCTGCAAAAAAACATTGGACAGCTTTCTTGCCATTTTCTTCAGAATACGGGTGGAGTAACATTTTGTGTTAAAGTGATTTTGCGATAGTGCTGGTGGTGGCAGCGGCGGTGCTTTTTATGATGATGGTGATGATGATGATGATGATGATGATGATGATGATGATGATGACCGGATAAATAAAGACTAACGATTCACTGCGGTTTTATCCTCCTCCCCAAATGAGGCATACTTACGTTTGTCCCCTCCACATGATAAACTGTTCTAGCTTGCTGATGTTTTTCTGTCCAGTATTCATAGCAATGATGCCTTCATATGTGTTGTTGTGCTAAAAACGAAGCGGTCGTATATAGTCACTATTATCCTAAATATCCTAAACGTTTGAGAATTCTTTAACACGATACTTTGGTCCTTTCGACGTACTTGCAAATTCTTTTACGTGGCACAAGGGAGCGGTTGTATTCGGAAAGAAGTCACATAGTCACTATAAAGAATCCTCAAAAATATATCTATCTACAACCTGGATCTTCCCGTTCATCTTTCCAATTACCAACCATCTCTGCCCAAGAAAAAAACTCTGATAGTCTGCATCGCAGCTTAGCGAAACACTTTAAAATTACTGTCAGTCGTTCGTTAACAGAGAATTTATGCAAGCATTACGTACATATCAAAGTGATCTAACCTGCAACTGAACGAAGGATGACACCCCTTTTGAAGAATTCCTGGGACATAGATCACTCTGAACATTTACTATTGTATTAAGGATAGGGTCAGTATATCCCCAGAGTAAATCATAAACTGACTTGCTTTGAAACAGTCTAACTTGGTATGCGTCCGCTATCGTCTGTACTGCTGGCAAGCATGTTGAGTAGTTCTGTAAGTCTGTATTTTTTAATTTTAGTGCCAAAGTCTGCAGAAAGAAAAGCAAGGAAAAATGAGGTAAAATTCTGGATAAATACCGTCTTAAGGCGGAGAACGGAATCAAAGAGAAGTAGTTGATATCCGTAAAAGCAAAACACCAGCTAACTACAAAAGAAACCTGACTTAAACAGAGTTCAGATATTACCTTGGCCAAAGTAAAAATGGATTAGAAAGAGGATTTGTCTAAGACAATTAATCCAATCACGCTTTTATAAAATCCTACGAAATAAATAGTACCATACACATGTTCTCCCAAAGAAACTAGGATTCCACGGCTCGCAGACTCAAAAGTTAAGAGCTCCGTGCAGTTAATTATATACACAATTTAAAGCAATGCGATGCTTCAAAAATTTAGGCTTGTACGAGTGAGACTGGGGCTTCAGCGAGGTTGAAGTCCTTCCTATTCGAATCCATAAAGGAGCCTTTTTTTTTCGTACAGTCATCAAGTCATAATGAGTTGTTGTTATTGTTTTTGTTCCTTTTCTTATAGTTACTGACCACTCTTGAGTTTCTTTAAACCTTTAGAGTTCATCTGATTCTGATTGCAAAATTTAAGCATCGGGAGTCGCCATTTTGGATCACGTAAAGCCATTACTTCCAACTTGAAACAATTGCTAGGAAATGTGGCCAGCTAAGGTTACGTTACCTGGCCTTATGGGCAATTTATGGGTTGGAAGCGGAAATAAGACGATAACGAGGCCAAAGCTTTCCTGCAAGTGCAAGTGATTGGAACGTTTGGCCTCGTTCTCGTCTTATTTCCGCTTCCAATCGATGGATTGCCCATAAGGCCAGGCAACCTTAGCTGGTGTCTGCACCAAAAGCTATCCGGTATTTTATAACTTTGGCCAGAGCTGGAAAAATTTTAATAGAACCGGATTAACTTTGAAGGTTCAGAAAATACTGTATCAAGCTTATCGAATTTCTACGATCCTTGGAGCTGGAAACGTTTTGGAACCGTTGTAAGCTTTGAAGCTAATGCTTAGTGATTACCAAAACGTGGTCTAAACACTATAAAAATTTTCATATATTTATTTCTGACTAGAAAAAATATGTCTTTGCGGCTTTGCGGAGCGACCTTGAGGAAAAAGAACTGATTGAGGACCAAGAACACCGCCGAAATAAACGTGAGTGTGCCGTTATTTTATTTTACCCCTTTTGCCTCTCCCTTAGTATTCAGTGGCGGATCCAGGGGAGGGGCCTGGGGAGCCCGGCCCCCCCTTTATTTTTCGATCAAAATTAGGCCCGAAGGGACGAAAAAATTTTTTTGGAGACCGGGCCCCCCCCCCCCTTATCTCAGGGTCTGGATCTTTCACTGGTATTCAGACTTTATTGGGGCAAAACGGCAGTCATGAGAGAATTAACAAGAAGGCATATAATTAAAGAAATAAAATATAAATAATTTATTACAATTACAAGGATAATTCTGAAAAAAACATTTGCGAATCCCTAAAGGAGCAAGTGCAAACGGGACCCTAGACCCATGCAAGGCAGTGCCCTGTTGTTACTTACAATTACAGAATTGTTAAATAGCTTTTTTTACCCTTGAAAAAATTGAAAAATTAACACAAGCCCGAGATGTACGTTTAACTGACTTACCAACAGTGGTATGTTGACAGTAACAAATGTGTCGTTCTTGTCATCACAGCCATCACATGATGTTTCTGGATCAAAAATGAACGTTCTATTTGGCATAAATGTTACAATGCGGTGGTCACTGCTAAAGTTGAGCACCTCGTTCGATCTTAGTTCTCTGGAAATGGAATAATTATAAGAGAGTTAAAAAATTGCAGTTGCAAAGTACATTTTAAGGGTCTATTAATTTCGAGGTACATTTGGATATGCGCTTGTCTCCCCCCAGGGGGCCGGGTACTTGACCTACCGAGTGCTGGCACTAAATTTTTTGCTGAAGCTTATTTTTGCGAATTGGCGATTTTTTGTGTTTTGCGGGAACTAATTTTTGCGATTAGGGCAGATTGGTTTTTCTTGCTGAGAATTAATTTTTGCGATTTTCAGAAAGTACCCAGTACCCGGCATTGAAAAGATTCGTTTTTATCGAGTACGTGCAATAGAAATACATATTTGATGGGGACTTTTTTTTGCGGATTGCAGGAAAAAATCGCAAAAAATTAAAACCGGCAAAAGTTTCGTGCCGCACGGTACGTGGTATAATTGGGTATAGGTGAGCAGCTAAAGATTTGAGTCCCTGAGACCCTGTTTAGGACAAGGACCCTGTTTAGGAAGTTTCTAAAAGACATAACCTGTTTAGGTAAACGCCCTCAATTTTATTACCCTGTTTAGAAGAAAGGGAAAAATGCATGCCGTCTTGTTTTAAAGCTATTTATGACAATAGAGCAAATTCAAGAAGCAGTCATTGTCAGTAACATACTTTGAGTGCAAACAAAATTCACGTAGCAAATCAAATCAATCGAGCAGGCAATACCTTAGCCTGAGGTAGTCTAGCTGGGGAGGGGAAAGGATGGCTTTACTCGCCGATATTTTTCCTATTTGACCCCACAGCAGAGCCCGGTCCCAGGCTAGCAATGCCCTGTTCACAGACTCACACGAAATTATATACCCTTTTTACGACAGAGAGGTCAAAAGCCAAACCCCGTCCAGCATCACATCCCTGTATAGGCCATATAAGGGATTACCTCCCCCCCCCCCCCCGGGCTTGTCTCGTCTCGTCCCCCATACCTGTCCGAATAAGGTCCTATCTGTGTCACATTAGGAATTTCTAGGCCTTCCATTACTTCGTCTGGATTTGTCACGTTAAAGACAAAGTATTTCATGTAAATAGGAACAGAGGGCTTTATCCATTCTTTGTACACTAAACTGCCAGGTTTTAATTGCACATCCTAAAACAAGAACAAAAACAAAACTCCTTATTTAGCTTTCTTTGAAGGTTTTTTTCCCAGGTAAAGTGATCAGTAAGTGGGAAAACCCCTGTAAAGTATGGTAGATACGATAACATGCGATAAGAGAGGATGCAGTGACTGCTTTACAACGAAATTACAAGCTAATTGTAGACTGTGTAGCTGTGAGAATGCATCATATTATTTGGTCTTTCAACATTTCCTCAGACAAAATAGTAGCCTAGGCAGAAAAACTGAAAAAGAAAACTAGTACTAGCCGTGGAACCCAGTTAATACGGTCACTAATGGGCCAAAAAAATTGGCGGTATTAACGGGGTGGCCGTATTAACGAGGGTTTTTTACAAGAAAATGTGTGGCGGTTTTTGCCAGGTGGCCAGAAAAAGTGGCCGTAATAACGAGGTGACCGTATTACCGAGGTGGCCGTAAGGCGGGGTTTCACAGTAGTCAACTAGTTTACCTGTGTAACTGGCGGGTTTTGTTTAGCCTGTTCCAGGCGTTCAGATAGTAGAGCGCGGGAGGAAAATTCAAGAAGGAAAAAAAAAACGGGGGGAGACCCGGTGTACAACTACAACGGTGGGGTCAACGAGGGGAGAACACCCGTTTTCCCGGTGTACAACTTAACTCGCTCCCCACTTGCAGCCGCGCTCTACTATCTAAACGCCTGGAAAAGGCTAGGTTTTGTTTGTCAGCCCGCAAATGGCGACGAAGCCGCGAGGAGAATGGGACAGAAACAACGAGAGAAACATTTTTAGGTAAAATGTATGCTTTGAACTTTAAAGACTTGGAGCTCTCTCTATAGCTTTGACAAACCGCGCGGGAATATTTCTCAGTTGTACTCATGATAATTTGTAAGGGGAAAAAAAGATGAATTTGAAGCTTTTCCTTTTCACACTGTTTTTCTTTTATTCGTTTTAAGCTACAAGCATCTTCGTCACGTACAGTTTCTCAATTTAGAGTTTAGAGGACTCGAGCGATTCGCGTGCACGATCACTTCCAATTCGATTCACCCTCCCCCATCCTTCCTTCATCCCCTGCTGCCTTTGCTCGCTAGTTGATGTGTATTATAACTGAACCCCGTTCTTCAGCTGGTTCTTGACTATCCAGGGTAAAATAAACGTTTCAACTTCTCGGAAAAAGAGAATTTTTATACACCCTAAGGCACACATATTGTAGTCTTCTACACAGCCGTTTTTAGTGACGACACTAAAAAAGGCTGAAAAAAATAGTTTTCTTAGCCATGTTACAAACATGTGAGACGCACCAAAATTACGGGTCTTTTCCTGTGTGTGTGTGTGACAGGATTACACATTATCATGAGACGAAGGGTATTACAAATTTCACTGAATTAAAACAAACGATGAAGATACGAGACCCCGAGAACGGTATCACGATAGAGATAATGTAATGATTTTAATTCTTGACTCACTGCTAAGAAATATTACATTTAGGTATTACAATAGATTCGAATTTTAGACTACCCATCAACCCTTGAAGATAGTTTTAACTGAGATAGTATAGATTCTACATTTGCCTAGATCTTCACTAGTATTCTTCACTGAAACGATAGGGATGTCAGATACTACGCCTTCTCTTTCATCGGCTTTGCATGTGTGTTCTATTTTTTATTTGTTGTACTTGTTTTTTCGTCAAATGTACTTGTTGAAAAACATTTAGCCACCAAAACTGGATATGGCATAAAACAAGGAAATTTGATGTAATGGAGTAGCCTTTCGATCCTTTCAAAGTTTTTATTAAAAATGAGGAATTTCTAAATTAGATTTTTTCAAAACATTTTTTATAAATACTGACCTTGTCGACATTTTCGTTGATCAGCTTATCGAAGACCTCACAAACGCCAAACGCTAATCCAAGAACAAGGAGAACCACTCCCGAGGCGGATAAACAGATTATCCAAAGTTTTTGGCTGCAGCAACCCATGGTCAACGAAAAAGTGGTACAGCCGGCTAAAACTGAATAAGTACTCAGAGGTTTGATGTTGTTTTATGAACAAAGTTTGTTGTAATGAGCGTAGCGTGGCTTTTTGTAAAGTCGCGCAGAAAGGGGACGCGAAAACTCGTGATTAGTCGCCCACCCGTTTACCAAAAGACGTAATCATCATTTTCAAAATCACTGTGACAAACTTTGTTAAATACCAGCCGGGAGTAATAGTTAATGAACAAACGATATTGTTCTTCGCCCTTTAGGTGCATAGGTTAAAATTAGGGCCTGTTTACATGCGGCGGGTCACGTCACCTATCATGTAAACGTGATCAAATTTAAATGAGAGATTACATGGACAGGCGGGTTACCTCACCTACCTGGGGTCCCCCACCTCCATGTAAACAGGCCCTTAGAGACGTTTTGATTATTTTTTGGATGAAATTCCTATGATAATGCAAAAACCAATCCCTTATAATGAAGCATTCAAAGGAAAATGACGAAATGTTAACTCCTTAAAGCGGTAAAATATCTTTGCAGTTAACACTCTTCAGGCTCATTTTTATTTTTCCTTTGCTTGAAATATTTTAGCATACATTACCATACCCCAAAACAATGAAAAATAACAGAAAAAAAATAACTGCAACATTATTCCATCATCAGGGCTCAGGGGAATGGCAAGTGTTTGAGCCAGAAGAAGAAAGACGTTTTGATGGATGTTTGAATTGGAGTTTGTAGGGGTCCTCAGCGAATGAATCGTGATGAATAGCCTTTTAAAGATCGAGATCGGAACGTCTTCTTAGCCTGGAAAACAGACTATTTCTTTTGTTTCTGGTTGATCAGCTGGCAAGACCCTTTCACCTTTGTTCTTTTCACCTTTGTTTACGCACATGACTAACCTGCGATCAAGCGTTTTTTTTGTCGGGAGAGTGCGAAGTCGGCGGAAGGGAAGGGAAGCCACATGACTAGAAACATGGGACATTTACAATTATTCACATGATTATAGTCTAAGTAGTATTCGCGATATATTCGAGACAGCTATTAGCCTACAGTCTAGTACAGTCTAAGAGGTTCCAAAAAAAAAAGAAAAAAAAAAGACAGAGAAAAGAGCTCTTCTAACGGCAGCATAGGCAACCCAAGCCTAGCATGGGAGTTACATGTTTTACAATGCTGCGAAATGTCACATGATTACCCGTGAACGTTAAGGATTTGAATCCCTGTATAATAGAGATATTTCTTGACCGAAGTTCATTACCAAATAATAATAATAAAGAAACTTCTTTCTTAAACAACCGCCGGCTTCCGCTTATAAGCCCTGGGTTTACACAACTTTCTTCGTAAATGGCCTATAATAACCGGACCAATGAAGAGTTTCAAAACAATATACATAGCAGTGCAAATGTTTCTAAAAGTTGTTATTGTACTGATCCAGGTCTACAACTGGGAGACCCGAAAACTCTCATCGATTTGTCGCTGTGGACTTGCTGATATTTTATATCCCGTAAAATTCCGAAAATAAGCCCCTCCAAATATAAGCCCCCAGGAGGGCTTTATACTTGGAAATTTCTCTAAAATACAAAGTAAAACAAAGAAAAGCGGTAAATGTCCTTCCAAGAACAAGGCTAGCCCAATCGATTTTTAAGCGCAAATTTCCCTTCCGTACATAAGCCCCTCACAATGGGCCTTTGAAAAATATAAGCCGGGGGGCTTATTTTCTGAATTTTACGGTATTTTACTAGGTACCCCCGGTGTCCGAAAATATCCGGGAAATTTTTCCTATCCGGGATCCTGGGCTTTGAAACCTGGAATCCAGCTCCGGAATCCAGAGGTCTACACAAGATAGGACGGGATTCGCTGCACTGATCGACCTTGTAGTTGCCAGTCCAACTCCATGGCAACAGATTTGCCGTCTGGAGGATCTTAACTGTACTGTACTGTAACCTGGAATCCGCGAACAACTAAACCCGGAATCCATAATCCCGCACAGCGCTAGCGTTAAATCCAGAATCCAAAACTTTATTACTTAACCTTGCATGGCATTGGGGCGACATCACGGGTGTGTGGTTAGTTTCCTGATCCGATTAGAATTTAGCGATTTCTTTCACTCCCCTGTAGTGTTTCCACTCCTACTGAATAGACAATCTACTAAGAATTCACCACGGAAATACATTAAGCCGTGTTTTATTAAGAACCTTTGCGAATATAAAATGTCTTCTTGAATCTATTAACGGGATTCTCTTGCAAATCCTTAATTTGACTAATTTGAGATTACTGAATATTTCAAAATATTATTCAAACACGTAGATAGATACCGCTGATGATGGATAAATTTCAGCAATCTTTTAACTGACTATAAAGTTTCAAGGTGACCAAAGGTGACCTCTCCGGACTGACCATTCGCTTTGTTATGTTTTAACGTTAAATGTATCATGGATAAGGCAAAGACGCCCCATGCATCAAAGGTTGTTACATTTTCATCGCTACAAGTTCTCTCCATTGCCATTTGCTTTGTAACACTGATTCAGGTCCAGGTTAAACTCTACGAGCATGATCAAATCCTGCTGACACTTCTTCAACAAATGAAAGGAAATTCGGACGTGAGAAACACGGCACTCAACGAGGCAATTGGCAGTTCGGGGCTGAAAATTCAATTTCTCAGAGAATCGGATGATAAACAAAGTAAAGAAGGTGAGAAACAAAATCGCTTGTTCTAAGATTTAAGAAGCAGTTCTTTCCTTTGAATTTCATATGAAGAATTTAAAAGATTTCTACAGCGACGAAGCAGGAAGCTGCCGCTAGAACAAAGGAGAAATATAGGGCTGTGCTGATTCACCCCTAGATGAGCGGACAGTTCTGTTATTTTCCCTCCGTTCGCAACTAACCAGCATAAACAGCCGCCTCTCGTCTCTCCCTGCCATTGGTGACGTTTCATGAGAGAGAAGGGAGAGAAGAGAGTCGTCCCACTGAAGGCCAGAGACGGCTGGCTGTATTCGCAAACTATGCGCGACAAATTAGAGAGACGACCACTGGGTACGGTCAGAGGGTACGGTGATGGGCTCCCCATGTAGACTTTCC